CTTGTGAGGGGATCCACAAGGGTTGCTCTAAGCATTGTTCCACTTCTTTTTTCCTAGAGTCTCTTGTCCTTGGAAGGGTTGGGAGAGGTAAGTTCCAGCAAGCGATCGAGGTTCTCTGCCTGCTTCAGGAGGAAGCAAAAGGAGGAATGTTCTCTGCCTTGCCGGGTGTGGCAAAAAGACGTGTTTGTAAAGGCTTATCCGCCTAGTTGTGGGGGCTAAAGGAGAGTCACGATTGTAGTGCAATACTCGAAGGATGCCTCCGAGGAGTGGACGTAGGTCGAGTTGACCGAACCACTATAAACCCTTATGTTCTTGTTTTTTACTGCTTCCGCGTTTATTTTCTTTTGCACTTATTTTTTGTGGTGATTTGGTTTGTATTCGTGCTTTGCCTAAAAAAATTTTAAATACCAATTCACCCCCCTCTTAGTTAGCCTTGGGCCAGTTCATAAGGGCTTAACATCCTTAACGAACTTTCTAGTGCCATCAGAGCACTTTTAAGTGGTATCAGAGCACTTTTTAGTGTCATATGAGTACTTTCATTATCAACTCTTAAATATGTTATTATTCTAAATCTAATTTATATCATAATTTTATTTATTACAATCTCATATACTCTTCTATTAATCAATTCTAATTATAAATTTCAACTTAAAATAAATTATAATTATCATTTCATTAAAAATCTAATACCATTATATATGCATATATACTTTTTAAATATATTAAATTTCTATTTTAAAATATTATTTTTCTTAATAATATTAATAAAAAGATCAAATCTTTCCTATTGCTTTGTATCCTCTACCTGCCTTGCTTGCTCGATCTTCCCAAATACGACTATTCTTCTCTCTCTCATTCGTTCTCTCATTCGCTGCTCAAGCTCCCTTGGTCTCACTCCTCCCTCTCTTCTCTAATTTATAGAGACGAAGCCAACGACGCTGTCAAACAATGGAATCGACCCTAACCTTTCGGCTTCCACAACAACAAAAGACAGGAGCAAGCTCTTTGTCTTCTTACCTTCATGCGATTCGGATCGCTCGGCTTTTGCGATTCCATGTGATTGAAATGGCACCCAAGCATCTTCTTCATCTACCATGCCTCCTTCGACTTCCTCATCTCCTTCGGCTTCGTAGGACGAGTTTGAGATATTACACTTAACTTGCTTCTAATAGAACTGATAAAAAAATGAATGGCGAAGGGATTGTCCCTCTATTACAATGCCTAAGACATTGGCATGAATGCCCTTTTGAGGGTGTAGTGAGGGTTGCCTCCTAGTCCAAAATGGCTTCTCATAGATGATGACAAATTGTTGCATGTTGGAAATTTTTTAATAATAGAGAATGAGAGTTTATCTTCTTAGCAGTATATTAAGATCTCATACGCATAGATAAGATAAGTCGACACTAGCTTATAAAAGGCATAAGATTTTTTATGTGAAAACTCTAAAAGGGGAAAAGAAGGGAGGTGTAGTTGAAATAAATACTACTGTATGTTATTTATTACAAATTTTATCATTCCCTATATTTGGAGAATAATTTGATACAATGTATGCACTGTGGATAATTGCTTTTATGGTGAATGTTGGAGGAGCTTTAAGGCTTCGAATTTATCTTCAAGAGATCGTTGTTGTTTAGTTTGGTCGTTCTCTTTAGGGACGGGGAGACCATAAATGAAGAAGTCTAGCACGTTGGTGCCAATATCAGGTGTTAGCTTTGATGGTGATGATGGGTGACATCTTAGTTGGCAATGGTGTGCATTGGGGTTGATGTCAACAGTAGGTATCTTCTATGTTAGTGGTGGTGTGGGTTGATGTTTTTGGCAATGGTGGGCGACAAAGTCAGTAGGTGTTGGCATTAGTGCCGATGGCATGCACTAGCCTTTTTGGTGAGGGCGTGTGTCGATATTGCTGGCATGGCATGCGACAAAGTCGGCAGGTGTCAGCATTGGTGTCGGCGGCGTGCATCAACCTTCTTGGTGATGGCATGTGTCGATGATATTTGACAATTGGGCTATGATTGCTAGTGGTAATTGCTGATAATGTTCATTGGGCAGAGCTCAATCTAACTCTAGATCTAGCTTGTGCCGTAGATCTAGGTCTCTGCCTTATGTGGAGATTGGGGCCTATGTATATATTTTTGTTATTTTAGTCTAAATTTTCAAACTCTCCATGATATGGTCTATGTCATTCCTTGATCATAGGCAATTATTTAAGTATTTAAGTGTTTTAATGATATTGGAATTGAGTGAGTTTGGACCCATCATATATCTTTCATTGAGATGTGTTTGTTCGGAAGCAGGCAATATTCAAATATTATTTGGTTCCTCAAATAGTGCTGTAAGTATCCAACTATGCATTGAATGCTTATGTTAATTTGTACTTTGATCAAAACAATTTTGGTGTTGTGGTCAAGCCATTCATTTCAACTAAAAGTTTTTTTTTAAATCAGAAGTTTGATCGAATGGATTTTTTAATGTTGTATTAGATCTTTTAATGACTAGCTTGAATCAAAGTAAATGTGGATCAACATCAACTTTAAGTCAACGTAAATGTGGAACTGTGGATTGATTTACTTAAATCACAATAAATCTACGGAGTATGTGGAATTCAGATGTGGTTAAGCAAGATGAATTGATGCTGTGATTGCAATGTCTGCAATACGACATCCTATTTCATAAACTTATCAATATTTCAAAGTTCTAGCGGATTTAGGGTCTTGTAATATGTTAGATGATAAAACTCCGTAAAATTTTAATGGTAAATATACTTGTGTAAGATCAGCAGACAATTTGGTGATGTGAAGTAGCTTTATATTGACTCTGTTGAAAACCAGCCATTGTCGCATGAGATGCTTTCTATCCTCAGTTAATATATTTAATTTCTTCACAATAGCTAAGTTTTAATATTTCAAGTATTGATGCAAAACCCAAATAGCTGCACAATTTAGTTATGCTACTCAAAGTGCAAGGTACAAAATTGTGTTAGCCCAATTTGAAGAGGATAATGGAGTGATTTTATTATTTATATTTGAGCATGCTTGATATTATTTCGTATCCAGTTACCTTTGTCATATGTCATACCATAACCCTTTTTTTCAGTTTGTTAATGGAATAATTTTTATAGAAGCACCTTTTCCTTATCTTTGAACTACCATTTTATTCCGTCTTCCACTTCTGAACAATCACACTTACTATTTAGACTTTGAAGGAGTTCACTGCTGTTGCTGGAGCTGATGTGCGATCCTTATCATCACTTTATAGTGCGGTGGTGAGTTACCTGTTGTACCCTAGTGTAATTTGTCCCTTTGTCTAACTTATTAAATGCTCTGACAGGGTAGAAATGCTGATGCTCTTGCCCTATATTTTGGTGAAGATCCAGCACGTTGCCCTTTTGAGCAAGGTAAGGACACAATTAATCTTTTTTCTCTTAGAATATCTTTCTCAATCAGTACAATCATCCATGCAGATTTGTCACCTAAGCATATGGTTTCAATCTTTTCCCACAAGTTTGCTCAACCCATTGAAATAATTGATTAATGATTGAAACTAAGAGCACCATCTTATTTTAATTTACTTTCAGGTTAATGATTGAAACTAGAGACGCCAAGTAGTTGTTTTGATTACAGGATTGATGTGTTACCAGTCAGTCTTGAAAAAACTAGAAAACTTTACTTATGTTGATGAGATATATTGTTTTGACACTTTATTCTAGTTGTCCACTCAATTTCATTTGAATTCTATTATTTGTCGCCATCAATCAAGGTTGGCCATTATTTTGGATGTATGCCGCTAATGCCATCCTCGGTAAGGGCCTTGTTGAAGTTGTTTTTATAGAACAACCTCCATGATATTAAGAGGCCAATATTTATAATCTAAAAAATTCATTTGACTTAGACAAAGCTCTCTTTTGTAGTTTTGGTAAGTTTTGTATAGTTTTTTGTTGAGGCCGTCCATTTTATCATTTGGTTGATATTTGTTCAGCTTCTATTCAGGTCTTAGTGAGCTTGCCTGGTGTAATTTATTCTACTTTTCTACTGAATTTTGTTTCTTCACAGGCATTAATGGTTTTCCTCCATAATGCAGTTATCTCAACTCTTATGAACTTTGTCGTAATGTTTCGGCGAGCTCACCAGGAGAACTGCAAACAAGCTGACCTTGAGAAAAAGAAAGCTCTGAAGGATTCTGAAACAGAGAAGTCTAAAGCTCCAAATCCTAGAAATAAAATGGTGAGCGATCCACTGCCCCTAAAACCTATACAAAACTAAATAAATATGTTGAAGTGAGGGGAAAAAGAGAGGGAAGGAAATGAAGAATTTACAATTAATTAATTTTTTTCATCTTGTTCGAAATTTTTTTATATTTGGTTGCAGGGATTGAGTCTAAGTGACCAGCTGCAGCTTTCACTGAATAAGTCCAAAGCTTCAAGCCAGCAAGGAAAAGATGTTCGATGACATTTAAACCTGCTCTGATTCTTGGAGAGTATGGCATTTTGACAACAGCTACAGGCCCCCCTCCCCTTCTTGATGTCCTTTCCTGGAGACCTCAGGATTTTTAAAGGGGATTTCATGATGACCAACTCAGAAGCACATCTGCTGTGAAATACATCATAGAAGGGGAATCGGATTTGGTATTTAGTTGTTCTATAAGTCACATCTTTTTAATTTTTTTATTATTTAGTTCATAGCTTTAGATGTTATAATGAGTTTATTTATCTACTTAACACCAAGCATTTTTTTTTCTCATCAAAGCTAAGTTAAAATCTGGTTTCTAATTGAAGCTTTTCTTCTCTTTGCAGATTTTTTCGAGACAATTCTATTGTTCTTGGCCAATGCTGCTGTCGGTCCTGTAACTATTGTACAGTTTTCTAACCTGTGTTCTTCTAATTTTTTTTAACATGTATTTTTCAATTTCTTTTTTCTTACCTTTGGCAAGCTTAGAAAAAGAGCAGGAAGGGATTTAAGCTTGTTTTCAGCTAATAAAGCTAATTTTGTATAAAAGGGAAGTTTGATATCATGCATGTTGTATTGCATCAGATATAATGATTTCTTCTAACTTTTTATCTCTCAAATCTCAAACTCAGTAATTTGGTTTGGAGTATCCGTTTGCTTTTAGCTCTTTATTGGATGCCAATCATTGAAAGTAACATTTGATGCCTTAGACTTTGTAGATCATACGCAATCACCATTGTTGAATACAAGGTATTGCTATATGTTTGATCAATTGAAGTTATCGGGCAAATCTATTTGGGTGACCAAAACACTGAAATATGGTGTTATCTATATGATGAAAGGGAAAGCTTAATTGTATATTGGAGAAACCAGAGCTGGGTGGTCGGACAGCAAAAACAAGGTACGTAATTCCTTTTTTCCTTTCACATAATATTTTCCAGCAACCTCACTTACGTTGCATAAATTTATGGAGGAATTCTCTACACATTTCTGTAATGTTTTTTTTTTTTGGGAGAAGTGAGAATTTTAGCTCCAATTACTGTAAATGAGAGGAGCTTGCGATTTGATCCTAAAGCCCATGCATACAAATAAACATTTGCTTGCAAGCTTATAAAAACAAAAATACTAATATCCCTATTGAATCAAGATAGTAAATAAACTTCGAGATGAAAGAATGATGCCCCAAGACACAAAAATAATTACTTGAGATTTTTTTTTTTTGGACATTTAGGTCAGTTAAGCCAAACTCATACACATCACATACGTCAGACTCGAACCCAAGACCTCTTGGTTGATAACCAAAGCTCTCAACCAACATATCAAAATGAGCTGCATAACTACCTGACATATTCAATAAAGGATTCTGCAGTCCGGCCGACAGTTGTGCCAAGAGGCTTGAAGAACCTATTTTTATTCCTCGGGGCAAATCACAACTGGATTGAGTGTGGGCATCATTTTGCTCAAATCTCACTAGCTGAATAATAGGTCTTCACAAACATAAAGAATTATGAAAGCCAACGTAGAAAAATACTTGAAGTTCCTTATTTTCATTTGTAATGAAGTAGCAAAAACCTAGTAGCCATCAGGAAAAAATGGGGCCAAAACTGCAGCGGCAAACACCATTCCAAAACCCCAACGCCCTACGTTAGTTAGATGAAAAGCACCATCTTGCAACCCTTGTTCGATAACTCTCAACCTCACTATTCTATTATGCAGCTTTTCTCCATTTAGAGATTATAAACCCTACCCTACATGATATTTAATATGATTGCTAACGACAGAGTATGAGGAATTTCCATCATCATTCTTCCTTACATTAAGTTCTCACCATAGAGAAATTATTTTGTGCGGATACCGGATGCAGAACATCGTCTGGATACCAACAAGAATGCGTCATGTCAGGGTACCTAGCTGTGGTATTGAGCGGTACCGAGCACATGGGTGACATGATGCATTCTTGTTGGTTTCTAGATGGCATTCGGTATCTGCACAGAATAATTTTTCCACTAGAGATTGTAAGCCGTTGCACAAACCGGAAGCTGATGAATCCTTTCTATAGTTGAGTTGCTTAGAATGTCACTTTCTTGGAGGGCTTGTAAAAGAAACATACCAAGCAGATAAAGATTTCCATTAGTGAGGACTGAGGAGGTTCTTAAGCAATAGCATGAGGAACTCACAATGAAATAAAATATGTGAGTGAGATTCAGTTTGGTTACTGCATAAGAGACACAATTCATCGATAATAATGCCTTTCTTTAAAGATTATTTGAAGATTTTAGGCTATTAAGAATTCCCATCTTTGTAACAATAGAAAACTAAAGAGAACATCCCCTGAATCAAATGAATTTGGTCTACTCAACTGGAGAGATTACTTCTAAAAAAATTTATCCTTAGCATCCGAAAAAGGAGAGATTATTACGTGCGGAGTTTGAACATAGTTTTTCGTCGGGACTCTAATCATATTTTATGTTTAAGAGAGAAAAAATTCATATCTTCATGTGATTGGAGTCCGAATGGCGTCCTGACTCCACACGAAATAGTTTTTTTCCCGAAAAAGAGGCTAGACTTGCCCTTCCATTCATGATTTCATTGAGATATTCTCATATTTGGAGGGATAGCAATGGTATTGTTGATTGTTCTTCCAATTAAGTGGTGAGTGCCTATTATGCTTCAAAAGAATAGATCTGTCCTATTAAAATCTACCATGATTATCACTGCTGAACATATTCTTCCTCTGCTTTTGTAATCTATAAATCATGAGTAAAATAATATCTGACCCCATATCTCTGTATACTGAATCAAGGGCGTCTATTTTTTAGACTTGAACTCCTCTATTAACGACTTGTTTATGTAGTGAATGTGAAACTGACTAAAATTCACCATTAAAGTTAGCTTCCTTTTGTAATTATATGGCTTTATAAATTATGCAATATAAACTGCATACTCAATATCAGGAGAAATTATTACGTGCAAATTCTGAATGTTGCTCGCATTTGGACTCCAATATAGACAAGCCATGTGATTCATACACCTTGTGTATATTTTATATACAATGTGTGCATAATACGAGAAATTATTCTGTGCGGATGTCGAACTCAGTTTATTGTTCGGAGATCAACTAGAATGTGCCACGTCAGCAGTATCGAGCTGGATACTGAGCTGGGTATCGAGCAGGGGGTGATGTGTCATATTCTGATTGGTCTTTGGACGACGTTCGGTGTCCGCACAGAATAATTTTTAGTATAATACACAACATGTGTGCAAATTATGTAGAGTCAGAACGAGTACGTATGTAATAATTTCTCAAATAGAGACTTGCAATTTAACTAATTTTGATTTGTCCAAAATAGAACCGTAAATAATCTCTGTTGTGAGTTTTGTTTGGTTGGTTCAATTCAATTAATTGAGCATCCAAAATCAGCTGATTTAATAAATTCATCAATCAAATCGTCCAAACCAAAATCGACTGAATGCACATCGTACTCTTTATTCTTTTGTTGTTCGTATTCTCATTCAATTTTTTTTTCTCATTTATTTATAGGCAACTATTATGTTTTTTTTTTTTTTTTGCCTATAAATAATTGAGAGAAAAAAAGAAGAAGAGGGATTCCCTATACTCCAAACAAGCCACACATAATGGTCCGATAAATTGTGTTGCAAAATTTTAAGGAAAAAAAATGTTAATCATTAGATATGTTTGAAGATTATTATAATCCAAATGTTTAGATATACTATTAATCTTAAAATATATTTAATGATTATAATGAAATTTTATTTATTTATTATTTATAAGCTCGCATAACCATTTGTTGTGTGTCGGAACATTCATAGCGGTAGAGAAATATATGATTAAGCGCCCTAATTTTGTACGAAGATCTAACACACATAAATAGATAAGATAAGAGAGAGAGGTGCAAGAGTCATAATAAATATTAAGATTTTTATGTGGAAAATCTTGAAAAGGAAAAAAAATAAGGGGGGATGGCCTGATTCTACTTGTTTTTATAGTAGATTATAAATGATGCCCCTTCTGGGGGAAGTCCTTAGCTCAATGGAGTAAATCTACATCATATAAAAGCACATTATATGATGAGTTGGAAGAATCTAATGATGTAAGAGTTGTTCTCAAAAGAAGGTTGGCATGTTCGTCCCACCTTCTGAGCTTGGGCCATGCAATTGATGCAACCTCCTCGAGCCACGCAATTGACGTGACCGCCTTGAGGTTGGAGCGATGTCCGCCTCAAATAGGAGGGATTAGGCTGGATTAGGTGGAATTGGGCGGGTATTTTAAAAATTAAAAGTATTTTAAAAATAGTAGCAGTGAATCGAGTTGGCTCATGTGCTTGCGAGTCGAACCTCAAACAAGCTTGAACTCGAGCTTGTTAGATAAAGGAGCTAAAACTTAAGCTCGGGTTTGGCTCGTGAACTCAATAAGCTTGGCTCGGAAGCCCATAATCGTGTCAACCTTGAGCTAGCTGCTCACTAACAACTCTAGCTTCATCTAATATTTTATGCCAGTAATTATTGCATATGGCTAATTTTGTTTTAATTGCCATATTTTCTCTCTTTATTATTTTTTAATTAGTCAATTATCCAAAAGGTAGGCCCCATTATAGCATGCACAAGAGAGGCAGGTGGGCCCCAGCTTCAGTCTGTTTAGGTTTGCGCCGAAATGAGCAAGCCTCTGCTGTATATATCGTTATAATGGAAGCAAATCTATTACTTGCATGTCTAGCTTCCAACATCTAATGATGTAATGGTGTTGTATCTTGACCAATGTTTAATTCTCAAAATATAAATATATTTTTGCACATTTGCTAATGATAATGTCATATATAAGGCTTTGTTTGATAATTTTTTTTTAATTATTTTTTAAAATAGTTTTTCAATTCAAAATTATTAGCTCAAAAAAATTTTGTATTTAAAAATTATTTTTAAAAATAGTAAAAAAATTATCTCAAATGAAATTTAAGATACATGTGCATAAGAAGATGATGAGTCAAATTTTATAATATGCATTCAAATAGTTTGTTCTTAAAAATTTTGATCATTGAGGGCAGTTTCTTTTATGGTGATTGATCTCAAAGCCCATACTTTTCAAATTAGGCTTCATTAAGGGAGAAATTGTTCTGTGTGTACACTTGACGGTCTGGAGACCAACAAGAATATGCCACATCACCCGGTACACAGCGGTACCTAGCAAAAAGTAATGTGGCGTGTTTTGGTTGGTCTCTGAACCTTTCGGTTCCGCACAAAATAATTTTTCTTATTCATGGCAGTTTTATTACTACTTAAAACATCTTTTTAATACAAAAATGTACTAAAAACCTGCTTTAAAAAATTGATAAGAAAGCCGTTCCAAACAAAAACTTAGTTATTTATATCTCCCTCTTACGATTTGGCAAAATTTAAGTTAGAAGCATCATCTTGTTAAAGTTTGGCTTACCTATTGGAAACATAAATCTTTTTTCTTGGCTGAGATATTTTTAGTTTATTAGCTCTTTATATTTCAATTAATGATTCATATTAATAGAAATATTTTTAATAAGCCTAAACCTACGACTTTCTTACTTTTTGAACTTTTCATACAAAAAAAGTCATATATATATATATATATATATATATATATATATATTCATGTGTGTATTTGTATATCATAATAATTAGTCAACTATTATCATATTAGTTTAGTCTTAAAGATAATTAATTAATCTTTCTCAATCTAAAATAAAATATTTAATTTTATAATCTAATTTTTTTACCACTTCTCATTTTCAGAATTTATCATGCAATATGTACCAAATATTATGATAAATTTATTAAAATTGAAAAGGATTAAGTCACATGTGATAATCACATATTGAAGATAATATTTCAAAGTACACATAAATTGACTAGGCATCTCTAAATAAGACAAATTGCGACATTAATTAGGAATTTTTACTTAATTGAAATTTGAAAGAATTATTAATTAAATTAATTACATTGAAAGTAACAAAATTATAATTTATATAATATATTATTAATATTAATTTTTAGATAAAATATATTTTTATGCATTTTTTTAATATAATAGAGGCATCAAAAATAATATTTAAATATATAAATTTTTGCTTAATATAATTTAGATTATAATATATTAAAATAACTTTTATTCTTATTTTGCCCAAATTCGGCAAACTCTGAGAAGTAAGCACTGAGGCAATACTGAGCTCTCTCAAGTTCCGAATTCCTGGACCGAAAAACACGACCCTTCACGTGCCGTGCTGTAGCCGGGACCCATGCATGTAGCCATTCCTGTAGCTACACCCGGTTCAGCGCTACAACGGGTCCACCGCATTGACTCGTACGTACTTCTCATCTCACGATATGATGGAAAAAAAGTAGGAGAGCCGACAAAATGGAGGAGGATGAGGGAGAAAGTCATCATGAGTTTTTCTGACCTTCATAAAAGAGAGAGAGAAGAGAAGAGGAGAGAGAAAGATGAGAGAGAAAGAGATGAAGAGAGAGAAAGTTGTGTGTATTGGGCGGCAAAACTGGTGCTGCTGTCTCTATTTATTGTGGGCTTTTAATTGAGCTTTCTTTATTAGTTAGCATCGAATGGGTGATATAAATCTCAGATTGTGTAATTATTAGCTTAAATTTCTTCCATTCTTCGAAGTACTTAAATTATTATATAATTTCACTAATGCTGATTAGTTTTAGTTTTGCCTCTTTGGAAAGTGTGAGCCTCCAAATTGTGATGATTAATTGTGTTATTTATGGTTGAAAATATCTTTCACACCATAAATTTTACTCCAATTTATAATTACGGGCGGGATAAAGAATGTCATCGGGAGATCCGGAGATCATCAAAATGCGTCACATCAGTGGTACCAAGCTATACCGAGCACATGGGTGATGTGGCGCATTCTTCTACTTGGTCTTCGGAAGACGTTCGGTATACGCACAGAATAATTAATATAATGAAAGGTTAAGGTTTCGTTTGGGACAACTTTTTTATTGTTCTCTAAAATGACTTTTTAGTACAAAAATTTCTAATTGAAGATATCTTTTAACTAAAAAGTTGCTTTAGAAAGCATTAAGAAAGTTGTCCCAAACGGAGCCTCATTCAACGTGAGTGAGAAAAATGTTTGAGCATAGTTTGAATTGTATTTTTTCCATTTGTATCTTTTTCGGAATTGATTTATTTGAATTATGTTATGTATACAATTGAATGCTCTAATTATACCGATAGAGTCATATTATACTTTTAACGGGACACAATGGAGAAAAAAGATTCATTTAACTGACTCCACGTAGTGGGAAAAATGATTGATGTTGTTGTTGTTGTTGTTGTATTCAAATAGTTTAAAAAAAATTTAATCAATTGAAGACATTATTAGGAGCTAGATGCTCCTAAGGACTTCTAGAGCATGTTTGAATTAGCACCATTAATGTCTTTTATTTGTATATTCTCTTCTCAATCTTATTATTACTATAAGAACATTCTAAATGCTTAGATTTAATTATTTATTAAAGTAATATCATTCTTGTAATTATCAATATAAACATCTACTTTGCACTTTGTTATACATATCATATAACATAATATAGTTCATGGATTACTCTTTTTATATCTACCTTATCATATATTGTGCTATATCTATTGTGATTGCTCTTCTCCACATCAACAATTGTTATTCTTAATATATCAACTACTATTATAGTTGTTTTAATTATTATGTTCGAATGTTGTTCGAACTTTGTTCAAATGGATTAAACGATGATTTGAATCATCTTCGATCAAAATCTTTTTAAATATTGTTCAAAACTTATGTGAATCAATGATGATTGACATATTTTGCATACGTAATCTACTTTAAAAAAATAGGAAAAATTATTCTGAGCGGACACCAAACGGTTCGGAGACCAATCAGAACGTGATGGACGCATTTTGCATCCGGCGCTGAGCACCAGTACCAAGCAAAAAAGTGATGGGCACATTTTTGTTGGTTTCTGAATCCCATGATTCCCATCCGGAGTCCACACATTTTTTTTTTCGAAACTAGAGATTTTAGTTTTAATTGAACTTTTTTCAACATATTTCTTGAATTTCGACTATCATAAGGCAAGTAATGTCAATTTTCTTTAAATAAATTATGTAAAATTTTAACACTTGTGTGCAATATCAATACTTTCAAAATGAAATTTTCTATTTCTTCTTCTTTTACATATTGGGAATTAAAATTTAAAATATTAAATCTTTATCAAAGCTAAAATATGTTTTTTTTTTCAAACCAAATATTTAATAAAATTAAAACATAATATATATAATAAAATCAATTAGATAAATATGAATTTGTTCTGCTTAAAAAAAATCATAATTTATAAAGAACCTCTTTTAATTTTTTTCTTTCCTATTATGTATAAAAATCAAAGAAAGCGAGAGAGAGAGAGAGAGAGAGAGAGAGAGAGGGTTCATTATTCGAGAGAAGAGTTAAAGCTATGAGAAGGAAGAAAGAAGGAAAAGGGGCTTATCGAGCTCTGCCAAGACGTTGCAGAGAAGCAGCGTTGGGAGACAAAATGGCAAAATCAGGACTGTGAAGAAGAAGAAAGAAGGATACGTCTCTGTCTTGTATCTAATGCTATTATTCAGACGCCACCACAAAGATACTGTTTACTATCTTTAGATAAAGATATTCTAGAGAGAGAAAGAACAGATACACTTCATGAAAATATTTATTCACCACCATACACAAATTTTTCTCTCCAGTTGAATATACTAACCAGAAATCATAATCTTTCATTAAAAACCGTAGCTACAGCTTTCTTACAAGAACAGAAATATTTTTCAAAATTGAATCAAATGACCGTTTCCCCTACTGCTTTTTTGCTCTTAAATGATCATTTCATCCAATTTTGAACCATTTTTTCAGATAGAATAACATTCAGGATTTCGTTTGAGACGACTTTCTTCTCTATGCTTCTTAAAACAGCTTTTTTTACCGGAAAGAAAGCTGCTTTATGAAAGAAAGCCGTCCAAGCCTCAATCACACATTAGAAACGAAAAAAAAAAAAAACCTTACAGCTGATCCCAGTATACGTACAGGTGAACTATGCACAAGAAGAGGTAAACCCAATAAGATCAACAATAGAACATAAGCTTCTTCACACTATCTCTAATCTTTGGCAAGGGCTCAGCTTTAGGAGGAGCAGTTCTACAGATTGTAGTGCTGTGCTTTACTTTCTGGCAATCCGCTCTCTCAAGATATAATCTTCCTCTATAAGCAGCTAAATGAGCATAATAAGCAGGTGGAACAAGAGAAACTGGTTTAGTACATCTCACAAATGTGTAACATAAATCATGTATAAGCTTCTGAAACTCATCAGATTTGAATTTATTCTCATCCCACAACACATGGTAATGTGTTGGCCTACTTGTTCCTTTCATCCCCCAATGGCTACAAAGATAGAAATCAAATTCTCTTGGATGAGTTATGACAGTATCCACGACTGTTCCAGGTGGGATATTCTCATCACCAAAATGAACTTTTTGATTCATAAAAAGTCTAGTATGGTGTCTCTTCTGAACCACTGCAAAGGTTATTGAAGGTTTGTAATCATGGAACTTTGAACAAGCCATCTGAATTGCTCTCAATTCATCTTTCAAAACCTTCTGAAACTGCGTCTCGCTGACGCCGTCTCTGAAGAAGATGATCTTGGTAGGAAGCTTGTGAACCGAGGCCGCGAAATCTTCGAGCAATTCAAATACCATTTGCTCGAGTTCTTCGATGATTTCTTGTCGGTGGGTCTGTGATCTCATTCTGGGAATGTATTTGTTTGCTGCAGGCCAGTTCATGCTGGCCACAACAGCAGCAACTGATGGGCTTGAATCATCTAATGGATGTGGGTGTGTTACATCTGCACCCATGAAGATTGCGGGTTCATCGTCGTCGAAAATTCTTGGAAATTGACAGGGAATGGTGTTGAAAAGAGCCATATTGCTTCCTCCTAGTTTAGCATTGATTTTAAGAGCTAGATTTGCAAGGAATTGGGAGCTGAGTTTAGCTAGATTGGAATATAAGCAGCACTGACTCACAACACCAATGCCAGTTTCAGCAATTCTTTTCAGATCTGCATATCCTTTGTGTTTCTTCTCCATCACAAAGATCATAAATTGGAGATTTCCTGAAGAAGCTTCATGAATTTTTCTAAGCTTGGAATCTAAAGCTGCCACATTGTTCAGAATCTTCATCTGCTCAAATAAAGGGGTGATGATAGTGTTCTTGTTCAACATTATACCGGATTGTTCGCATCGATGAGAGAGCTGGTTAATGAAATTGGGAATGGAGGACCTCTGTTCTGAGGTGCCACCAAAGCTTATCAAAGCCCATCTTTTTATCTGAGATCCCTCGGCGACATGGCTGTTGATAAAATTCCACTGTCGATCTTGCCGAGTCGGAGTAAGATCCCTTATGTGCCCGCCATCACCGAGTTTTAGCTTGGGAGGTTGGAGGATTCTTCCTTGGAGTTGGGTCATCTCCTTTGAAATGTTAAGCTTGAATTCTTTAGCATAGCAACCACTGCAAAATTTTCTAATTTAGAACTTAGAGCAACTCATCAAAAGCATATAATGTAAAGAAGGAACTTCCAATTCATATAGCATTTTATGATAATGAAGATATAGGACTTTATGTGATCACCTGGTTGGGCCATTTTCTCCTTTGATGATCTTATTGATAATATCTCTTCGTTCTGCTGGTTTTTGACAGCCCATCTTGAAAATCTTTGCAGTCTGATCATCTGAGAGTTTTCCTAGAAACTTCTGTCCATCACAGACCATGCACAGCTCCATGGGAAGATAGCATGGCTTGCTCCTGCTTATCTGCAAACATGGAAGGTTTTTGAATTGTATCTCATAGTTGTAGTGATCCCTATAGTACTCAACTAATGAAAGATCCTTTCCGTCCCTGTCTCTGAACTTCAGATTCTCTGCAACTTCATTTGTCAAACTATAAACTCGATATCTTTGATCTGTTTCCCTATGACATACAAAAATTCTAATGTTTTTCAAAGCTTTCTCAACTTCCTTCTTCTCCTCCTCAGCCAAACGCCTTGTTTTACTCTCAGAAAGATCTTTTAAGGACTTGCAATGTTTCTGTAAGTAAGGAATGATGCCAATGCTCTCATGAAAAGCTGTCACTGAGAAATCCAAGTTGAGTGCTAAGCCTTGCTGAGTCGGTCTAAGACTCTGGAAGAAACCTCTTAATCCCACAGCTCCTCCACCAATGTCTTTAACTCCTCCCATGGAGCTCGAAAACAGAGATCGTCCAATCGATATGCAATTCTCTGCAGGGCTTTCTCGAAGAACGACATCTAAAGCATGGAGATAGTCTTGAGGAAGAGGAACTCCATCCTTTTCATCCTCTTTCAAATACTTATTCAAGTCCTCTCCGCTCAATTTGGAAGCCAATCTGATACTAACTCTAAAAAGCTTAGATTTTGGGCTCGCAAACACATTAACACCATCTCCCTTGTTCAAAGATTGAGATTTGGCCATTGGTAGACTGACAAAAAACTCAATCCTATCATCTTGGAACTCAACAGAGCTATAAAGATTCTTCCTTCCATCAAAGACTGGCATGGCGCCTGCGAGGACATCGGAGTTCTCCATAACAAGCTTACTCTTGATCTTTCGGGCTATTTCCTTCGAGGGCCGCGGCGAAATATCAACATCATAATGAAAAATTGTCTGCTTTGGATCAAATTGGACAAGGAAATGGTTAGCTAGAAGAGAAATTGAAGAGCCTTCATTGCCACCATGGTCTGGTCTTCGAGCCGCCGCCATTGGAGACGCAAGCTTTGTGTCTGCATTTAAAGAAGCTGCTGAATTCATGGCTTTACCTTCCTTTACTGGTAACATACTGGTTTTCGGCTTAATAAGCTCCATATCTGAGTAGGTTCAGCTCAAATGAGAAACTAGCACAACCATTACAAATAAATCAAAGAAACAAAATGCAATTTTAGCAGTTTTTTTTTTTCTGAAAAATGTAAAAAGTTCACACCTTGCTTAAAAAATTAAATAAATAAATCCAAACAGTGGTTGATATATGGCCAAAAAAGTTCCAGGAATCAAATTACATGTTTATCGTAGGGAAAATAAAAATTAAAAAAGTAAACTTCGAACAGAACTGAAAAAAAAAAGAGGCTAGTGGATAGGTAGACTACAACCTGAAACAAAAAATAAAAATTAAAAGCAAGGAAGAAGCGCCGAACCTTGAGGAATGGGCAGTAATGCAATTTCAGCATCTGAAGATCCAGACCGAGGAGGCTTTTGAGGCCGGAAGTTCTTCTGATACTGAACTTTTGATCTGGGAAAAGTAAGATGAGGAAGAGATGGAGTTGGCGGTATGAAGAGAAGCAAAGGCGGTGTGATAGGAAGAGGAAGAAGAGCAGGGTGAGCTTGGTATCCTCTATGCAAGTAGAATCTCTCATGAAGAGGAAATTGAGCAGTGTTGCAGAGCTCCATTAGAGTGTTTGGTTGAGTCCTCCTTCCTCTCAAAGGATTGCACTTTCTGCTACCTTTCTTCACATCTTTAGCTTCATCCATGCTTTCTTTCTCAACCTTTGTCTTTCTCTCTCTAGAGGGAGGGACAAAGAGTATGTGGGCAGATATGAGAAGCTCAGGACAAATGAAGCAGAAGGGATTGTTATTATTATGCTGACAAAAGGAGGAAAAGGAGAAGATAGGATAGTAGATATGTTGGGTTTAAACTTAAAGTTTCCTTCTTCCTGATGCTTCTGTTGCCCACTGTTCTAAATTCCTCAAAAGTAGTATGGGATTTATGGAAGAAGTGAATAGCAAAGGGACATAAAGCCAAGAAAGGAGTTTGAAATAGGCTGGCTTCTCTAGGAGTTCAATATTGATCAATGGAGTATATTTATTTATTATTATTATTATTAATTATTATGGCTCATCTATATGCAATTGCATGGTTTTCATGTAATTATTGATGAGATATAATATATTATATGGAGAAGGATAATATAGGGAAAGGTGGTGGATCAATATTTTATCTTCTACTATTTATATCATAAATGTATAAAGCATTTCAATATACATTATCCTCCATAGTGATTAGAATAAAAAATATATATTTTTTTTCAATAAGCTCTTCTATGTTGTAATATGTTTAAACTTATGAAATTTTTAATTATTTTAATTAGACAAATCTATAAATTTAACAATTTAACATTTTACATTTGTAATATTTTTTAGTATATAATATGGCTGTCTAAGTTGGGTCATGGGTCAGGTTCGAAACTGATCCGACACTGTTCGACCTGATCAGAGCCTAATCCTTTTTTGCAAAAGGGTTGATTTTTTGGACCTGAACCCGACCCGCTTCAGATATGTTTTGCTAAAATTAGTTATCTAGTCTAAGATAACTTTTAGAGTGATTGTTAGAGATGCTTAGTTAAGCATTTATATGATGACCATATGTTGAAAGCATTCAATCATTATTATTGATAACAAATAATGATATTTCTCTCATTTCCATCAATGTCTCACACATTAGCAAGAAAAAAAAAACAAAATAGAATGGTGCAAAATGAAGAAGAGATTGTGAGGAGCATTTTAATTTCTTAATGTGAACCAAAACATTTTTTTTTAAACTATTCCTTTAGATTATCACTATGTAATGAGGTAATAGACTAAAATTGTATTGTAACAATATTAAATGTTATGATGTATGAAGATGAAAACCCCTTCAAACAATATTATTCAAGAACACACCCTCAAATAATATCATTGAAATTTATATTATTATCATGAGGAGCTCTCTTAATACATTCCATTTGTTCACCAATGAGGTCATGAACTCTATGCAATATGTAAACATTGTAAGGAGTGTTATAAGGGCTTCCACCACCTCATAAAGGCTCTATGATTATAAAAAAAGACATTATTGCACAAATCTTAGTGAGATCCAAAGGCTTCTACCACCTCATAAAAATTTTGATTTCATGAACTAGAAAATTGCATGTTAGTTGGTTCCTGTGGGAAGGGAGGGATGGCCTGCAATGCAATTTGTTATATATACCTTGCCAAATGTCACTTTTTGAACAAAAAACTTCATTGGAGTTTATATATTTTGCTTAATGGATTGCCATTGATCTTATCAATAGCTTGCTTGAATTAACCATAAAGTATGCTTTGTCACCTTTGGGATTCTCTCTCTCTCTCTCTCTCTCTCTCTCTCTCTCCCCTTCATATTTATTTCCAACTTCATTTTCATTTTGATAGTATTCAAATATATCTATTTTATAGTAGGTATTATTTTTATAATTAATTAATGTAATAGACATTTTCATTACTTCTCCTATTTTTCTATAGAGAGAGAGAGAGAGAGAGAGAGAGAGAGAGAATAATGGCATGGAAACTTGGCCGAGGCTTCCAAGATAGTCATAGATTGATAAAATAGAGGAATCCAATCAATTATACATTTATATATATAACCTTGACCTCGCATTCAATAATTCATTGCAATATATGAAATGTTTGATTAATATTTTATTTGCAAAATATTTAAATGCTCATGTAAATTATGTAAAGTATTGTCCAATTTCCACAAATAAGCCAAACAATTTCTCTTAATTTAAGAAAAGAAGCAAAATTCTTATCGTCAGTTGAAAATTAGTCATTGATATATGCAAATTTTAGTTTATTCTATTTGCTCATCATCGCATGAAATGCCAAATGATCGTTCAATTAAGAACTTTTTGCTTTTAAATATGGATTTTAGTTATTATCGATGGATCGATTTCAGTTGAAATGGATGTGAAATTTATTTTATGGGAAGGGAGGCATAAGGGGCCGGAATCCATAGAGATTCCGTCAGTGTCAGGGCATTTAGCTATATGTATCTGTACTATTTTCTATATCTGTTCTGTTCTGTACGAAATTGTGATTATGATATGATATGATCCGTACGATTCTGATTTCTGATTCTGACTCTGTTGATTTGTTCTGTTCTGATACGATCTGTACGACTCTGATGTGATTTGATACCTGTCCGTAAGTTTTGATTTCCAATTCTGTTCCGATTTCTGATCTGATTTCTGTCCGATGAATTTGGTTCTGTTTTCTGAGAATTTAGATTGGTGGTTTGTTGCTTTGCTGAGCTGTTGAGCTCACCCTTGCTTTCTGGTGGTTTTCAGGTTCTGGGAAGGGCAAGGAAGTTCAGGACTAGGTTTCAGAGTCTGATCAGATTATGTACTTTTGTACTTTTGATTTTTGTACAGTCATGGCTTTTCTGTTCTGTCTTTCTTTCTGTTGAAAGCCATGTACTGTTCTGTAGATGATTATTTTGAGGAAATGAAAAGATAGATGTTTTGTTCCGCTGCATTTGATGTTTTTAGTAGCTCTGTTGTTCTGTGTGCTTCTGTTGAGTTAAGAATTTGAAAGATCAGTTCAGTAACCTAATCCAAAGCCAGATCCTGGTTAAGAAAGGTCTCTCGTCGCGATCCGGCTCGGGCGGGATCCGTCCCCGTCGGGTCGGGTCGTGACAGGGGCAATTGCGTAAAAACTCATATAGACAACCTAAAAAGCCATATAATAAAAAAAAATTAATTTTTTTAGGGGGGTCAATTGCCCCCCCTCAATACCATGGGGTTCCGCCCTGCAACCCTCCATGGTCCAATGTAGGATGAGGCCATCCCACATGACATCATTCATGGCAAGGGTCCCATCCTTTTGTATTGCAAATGTGATTAGCATTGACTTTATGGAGTGCATCTTTGTGGGCAACATTGAGAGTCTGAGTAAGGAAAAGTGGTTATGTGCGATGTTCGGACGCGTCCGAAGGTCAATTCGGATGCGCCACATCACCCAATGCACAATGTGTTGCACAATGCATTGGATGACGTGGTACGTCTGGATTGCCTTCGGATGAATTCAAACACCACACAGAAATAATCTCTCATGAGTGAGAGGGCTCATAAGGACTCTCCCCAAGTATTCCTTCATAATGGTTGCCTCATATGAAGGCCATGAGCACCCCTAAAATACAAAGAAAAAATTGTTTTAGCTATGATGTATGATGTTATGCAAATAGATATAATAATTCATGTGAATTAAATTAACTTAGTGCATTGAACACAACATCTTTGTGTAAATTATATAAATTAGAACTTCTTCACATTTACTTATATAGAGGGTGAAAAGAAGATAATAATATAAATTATTGATATGACATTGTCACTTGCAAATGTAAAACTAAGACATTTTTTTTCAAAATTTTCACTCTTTTTTGAATAAAATATAGAAACTAAACACTTCATTTGACGTTAGCCAATTGTAAGACATTTTGATCACTATTATTTGGGACAACTTTATTGCTGCTTTCTAAAATAGTTTTTCATTATAAAAATTTTAATTCTAAAATTTTTTGCACTAAAGAGTTGCTTTAAAAAACAATACAAAAATTGTCCCAAACAAAGTCTAATTTATGCCCCAAAATAGTACGTAAGAGTTGTCTCATTAGCATATAGATCTATTTAGTGCATAAGATGAGAAATAAATTTTCATTATTATCTATTTAAAAATTCAAAATAAATATATATTTTTGGGTTAACCCATTGACCCATTAACCCATTTCACATTTGTCAACTAATATTTCTTCGAATTATATATGAAGAAAATTATAAATACTTTCTTGCTTTGAGAAAAAAAATAAAATTTTATAGCTTTTGTTGATCTAAATTATGTAAATAATAGTTGTCACATCATGATAAAAATGAAAATTAAAATATTGATTATTGTCACTATATATTTCATGCTAATTTTGTGTACTATTAATTTTTATTAAGAACCTAGCTTGAATATGGTCTTCATTCTAATTTATAATTTATGTTAAAATGAAATTAATTAAAATTGGCTTGCCTAACACTTTCAAAGAAAAAAATTTCATTACATATGCCTATAAATGAAAACCCTAAGAAGAATGAAAATGTTATTTATAATAAAAAAGCTCAAGGTCTGTTGAATTCAAATCTATCAGTGGATTATATCAGAATCTTGCTTGCAAAACAAATGGAGAAGAAGGCAGAGGCAGAGACACAGAATTTAGGGTTTTAATATGAGAACAGGCTTTGGGATTACAAGAGTTTAGGTGTTTATGTGTAAGAGAGCTTAATCAGATTTATTTTTTTATTAATCAAAATTCAAATCTAAATCTTATCGGACTAATTAATTAATTCAATTTTAGATGTTTATGCCAATAAATATTTTTTATAAGATAATGGAAACTAATTTTAGATATTGTTCAGTTAACCGAACTAAAAGCCTTTTTGCTTCTTGTTTTATTTGATTTGTTTATGTTATTAACATTAACTGATTTTGATTAGTACTAATCATGCTTAGTTTTTTGTCTTATTGTTGTATGTATATGGAGTAGGGGGGTATAAATATTCTAATTGTGTATGTGTGGAGGCAGATTTGTTGTATTTGTTTTTCAAAGGAAAATTTGTTTCCAATCTTCTTTTATATACATATATGATATAGCCAAAATTGCATAGATTCTATTGAGATTAAGCCTTTGTTTATGACAACTTTTTTTTATGCTTTCTAAAACAGTTTTCTAGTATAATTTTTTTTACTTAAAAGATA